TGGTTTGGGTTTAGTACGCCGCATGCTGCTGGTTGTGGTAGAAACTTGAAGGGTAGTGATGCAGGTGGTGGTGGAAACCTCCATTACTGTTTCCATGGTGGTTTAGCTTATTGGAATTAGAGAGGCGGGGATTGGAGAGAGAGGGGTCGAAGTTGGTGGTGGTGGGGTTTCTGGAGGATGGTCCATGAAACTGTATCGTACCGGCGGTTCAATCATGAAATATAAATATTGGAGGCTAAATCAGTAGGCGGTATTTAACGGACTAACGATTGAACTACGATTAAACACGATTTTATCATAAAATATCATACCACTGACTTATCCCGTACGATTTCATATGGACCATGTTCTTGAGTCGAGGGCTCGCTTCCAGAACCCACCCAAATCAGCGGCGTGTTCGTCGGATACCTCCCTCCCTCCCTAGTCCCTACATAAATCTCTCCACGGCCAAACAACCACCAAAACACGATTTTTCAATACCCAAATGTGATCTCAATTTCCCCCTAAATTCTCAATCCAAAACCCTAGATTTCTGAATTGTTCTTTCCTTCGCTAACCGGAGAGGGTTGCTGTGGTACTTAAACTATGTTTGTACACCTTTCAATACTTTGTTATCTCTTTCGTGTATACATAAGCTAATTTTGGAATTGAACACTAAATATTTTATAAATGATGGTTATTCATTGCGTAAGTAATATATGTTTCTAAGTATGGGTGGAAATCGGTACGGTATCGGTATCCCAATCCCAAATACCGAAATCCCGAATACCAAATTACACCCTAAAGTCAATCCCAATCCCAATCCCTAAATAATTTCGGTATCCCAATCCCAATCCCTAAATATACCGGTATCCCAATCGGTATTATCGAATACAAAATTAATTACCTTTACAATTAATAATTAAATATATAAACTCTAAACTCTTTCTTTCTTTGTCTTTCCCCTGGTTTTTTAAACTCTAAACTCTTTCCTTAATTAATGAATTTTACCTTTATAAAAAAATATGATAGTGATACAATTGGAATCTTGATATAGCCGACAATTTTTATTTCTTTTTCGGGCCGGTTAAATATCAACGAAAACAGAGCATCAGAATTATTCCCTTCTTTTCATTTTGTGTTTGATTGAGTTTATATATATTAAATATATTACCTTAGGAAATCCCTTTATATGATGAATCTTCCAATGTTTTCCGTTTAAATCTAGAGAAAATTAACTTTACCCGTAAGGAAGATCACGGCTCCCCATCACCGTAGTGAATGAAGGATCATCCAACTCTGGGAAGTAAGGAGGTTTCTCCTTCGCAATGATGTCTTTGTACTGAGGATCCGAGTTGGGCCAAAACCACACCATGTCATGATGCACAATTGTTGGGTAAGCTGCAACACATGCCCTTTTGCTTGTCTGAACCTGCAATTTTCGTTCAAATGAACTCATCCGAACATTGATTGAGATCCGCTGTTCACGAAGAGAAAGTATGTATGATCGAAGCAAGCAAACTAACTACTTACCGGAGGACCATCGGCAGGGGCTTGAGGGATGAGCTTGCAGTTTCCCGAGCCATCAAAACACCAACCGTGATAAACGCATTGCAGCCTTCCCGCTGGATCAATCCTCCCTTCGGACAGCGGAGCCAAACGGTGCGGACACATATCGTCGAACACCTTCCATGCGTTCTCGTTCCTGTCCCACCACACCACCACATCCATCCCCAGCACCATCAGAGCACGCGGGACCTTCTTGTCCAAATCGCACACCGGCATCAGCGGGTACCACTGGGAGTACCAGTCGAACTTCTCCGATCTTTCGGAGGCCAGGGCAGTGCCCTCAGCTGCTTCAAGCGGTACATGGTGATCCGCCGAAACAGGGGAAGAGAAGAGCTTGAATTTTGAGGGTGCCCTGCTGTGAAGTAATGGGAGGAGAACAGGACCAAATTTTGAAAAATTGGGTTTGCGCAGTTGGGCATGAATGAGCGACTTTGGGGAGTGAAGAGACGGGAGAGGTGAAGAAAGTGGGAAAGCTTTCATGGCTGCTCTACTCTGCTTGCTATTGTGGTCCTCCTTTTGGCATGGAGAGATTTAAGTTATAAAGAGGAAGGGAAAGGTACTGCTTGTCAGCGGTATCGTTTTCGTTTCGTAGGTTCCAGTATTTAAGTGGCACACAATTATTGCATACCTTCGTTTTAACAGCCGAAATAATATTATGATGACGTGATTTATTTTATTTTATTTTTTATAATACTTCAAAACATATTAAATAAATGTCATTTTACGCAATATTTGTTTAAATTTGATATTTGATAAAATGGGTGAGAGATTAATAAAATTTGTTGCCGTCTGGAAATGACCTGTGTCAATTGTCCCAAAATTGATAGTGTTCTTCTTGTTCCTCTGCAAACCTCGCCGTTAAATTGTGCTCAGCCAACAGGTGCTGGCCAGCAATTTCAGGATAAATGAAAACAATCTCAGCCGGCTGTTTCTCTTCTTATTTTCTACATGATGCTATTGTTGCTATGTGTTTGTTTGTGGAAGATCCTAGCGCCATTATTGCTATGTGTTTGTTTGTGTAATATCCTAGCCGGCTGGACATTATTTTTATTAAAATATCTTTAACAATTGATGATAATTAAATACATTAAATAATAGCAGTAAACAAAACTTGAAGCATCTTTCCCCTAAAAAAACTTGAGATCATAAAATCACATCACGTCCTTCTTTCTACTAAACTAATAATGAATTAAATTCATCATATACCGGAAGTCATTTGGTTGTCATATTTTGGGGTTGAATCCGGTCCTTAAACCTCACTAGCTTATTACCCGGCCCGTTGGCCGGATTACTGTATGTTACCCACTTGTGGAATGGGAGAGAAAGCAAGTGAGAGTGAAGAGATTGTGATTCCACTTGATTAGGACCGACCCACTAATCCAATTCTTCCCGACCCGCCCCAACCTACAGGGTCATAAAAGAGTCAATAAGAAAATACGAACGGGGAGGATTAGTCATATATCTTGACTCTTCAGAAGTGGGTCAAACAGGATCAAGGGCGGGTGAGGGCAATTTTTAGCGCTAAGCAGAGTTCTGGGTTGAATACCTTTACTTAGGCCTAGAAATTGGTGCTGATGCAGACTGCAGTTTTTATTATACCATCATCAATCATCATTGAATTAGTCCTGGGCATCCCTCCCCGTTGTCGATCTGAATTCTAATGATGGCTTCATTCCTTGCACCAGCCATATCAGCGAGTTGCCATCTCGAGCATGATTTGCCTATGTACAAATAATACAATTAGAGTATGAAAATTAATTCAATGAAAAGGAAAAGAGAATTCTATCACATGCCAATAAATACACACATAATAGTTGAAGCTAAGTGAAATTCATTACTCGCACATCAATTCTCAAAAATTACAGACTAAACATTGGCTAGAATGGCACTGAAACTACCAAGAATCATGGACGAAACAACTTGTCAAATTAAATAATCCTTATACTGAAACTACCTTCTAACTTGAAATAAGACATGATCACAGTTCATAGCTCTCTTCTCACTATGAATTGGTTGCAGCTAGAGGTGGCAATTGGATCGGATTCGTGGATCCATGGATCAAATGGATTGGATCCAATGGATTGGTGGATTCATGGATTGGTGGATTGATCCATGAATCCAAATAACATCCAAGGCTTGGACCAAAATGTAAATTTTGAAAAGTTTAGGTACTAAAATGTCATAATGAAAATTTTTAGGTACCAAAATGTAATTTTCCAATGATATTTTTCGTATAAAAATATAAATTTTAGGTACCAAAATGTAAAATATAAAAAATATAGGTACCAAATCGTAATTTTCCATTTGGATCCGTGGATTGATCTTTGAATCCACCAATCCAATTGGATTTGGATCAAATGGATTGGATTTAAATGGATTGGATTAGGTGGATAATTTGGTGGATGGATTGGATTGGATTCATGGATTTGGATCCTAATTGCCACCTCTAGTTGCAGCTCGTCCTTATCACAGCCTCTCAAGCTCAATTCAAACAGAATAGAGACCGTTATGTAAGATAACCATATTCTTACTGATCATAATTCCTTTCTTCACTCCATTTTTGTCGGAGAAAAGAGTTATCCCCCTCTCCTGCATTTCCCTTTCCCCCTCTCTTCTCCCTCTTCTTCACAAACCGATCCCTAAACCAGCAACAACAACAAAAAAATAGCCTTCGCCTCTCCCGTCTCCATCTATTGAACGCGTTGGTGGCAAGACAGGACTGCAAAAGCAAAATTTTCTAAAATCAAACTAAATTTTTTGAAGCGGACTCAACCACGAAAAAGAGTAAAGCAACAATGTATTAGAACCCTAAATTTAACTACAATCACTTCAAAAAAGACTTTCATTAGTGACGAAATTTAGCGACGCAAGCTGAAATTCGTCGCTAACAATGACTTTTACTGACAAAATTTTCTTCCATCTGCAATGTTTCGTCAAATAGTCATTTATTTGTGACAAAGGCTAATCTCGTCGGTAAAGACAAAAATCCTCGTTACTAAAGTCATTATTTGGAGGCAAATTTTGGCGCCATCATTTTTTCGACGAATAAAATATTGGCGTCGGTAATGTTTTAATTTTCCAAGTAAATGCGTACTTGTAATAAAAATATATAGCATGACGGTAAAGAAAAAAACATCATTGAATCCATTTTTGCAAGAACAATTGGTGTCAATCATTATTTGTGATGGCTGAAATTATGTTGCCAATAATATTTATTCCAATATTTTTTATAATTGAGATGATCCTACTTACCCTGGTTAAAAATAGAATATGCTTCATTACACCTCTATAAGATATATGAAGCCAAAACAAGTGTTTAGTTTGCAGGGATTCAAATTTCCAGCCCGCAGAGGGTTTGTCGGAAGGGCACTATAAGCAATTCACACTTAAATAAAGCTGTGCGTTTCACCTCCAACACTTTCTGCGGGTGGACCTGGCCAGTTTATTATATAGTCGGACCGGGCTGTTGCCCCCTGAAGTATCCGGCCCAAACTCTTCCCCCTTGACGTAGTCGGCCCAAAGACTGCTGGTGAAATGCATCCATCGAAATCTCTCGGAACCCATATTCAGCTGCCGTGGCAGTCCATGCCGTGTTAATTTCTTTCTCCATATCGATTTCGGTCTCAAGCCCTGCACTTCAATACTACATATGCAATTGTGAGGGACGCGTGGGCGGTGGGAGTTGCTACTCCTCCAATTGAATTCCCCAACTCCTCCTGGCGTATTTTGCAGGGTTCATGCGAGCTATATTCAACCCGCCAAAACCTCCTTCCAATCAACAAACCGCTAAGTAAACCTTTATTTTTGATCAATTAGAGCTTGCTGGTTCATGCTTAAGTGTGATTGCAATCAAGATAATGTCCGGAAATCAACAAACTGGTGGAACCTCTTCAGTGCAAACTAGTGCTCCCAACCGTCGCAATTCAAAGGGCAAATGTAATTTGATTTCTTTGGTTTTTTCCATGTTCCGCTGGTATTGTACGTATTCAAAATGGACACCACATATACCTGCTGACTTAATTCTGTCGTATTTTGCAGGGTTCATGCGAGCTATATGCAACCCGCCAAAACCTCCTTCCAATAAACAAACCGCTGCTGAAAGGGATCGTCTTAAGCAACGTAGTTCCGCGATTCATTTTTTGGTTCATTAAATTAAAGTTTACTTTGGCACAAAAGCAGAATAATTTGATTTGTATATTTCAATTGCAGAAATACTCACCCTTCAATCACAAGTTGAGCATATTGATCGCTTGATAGCTAAATTCTATCGAAAACGACGACGGGAGATCTTGAACGCGCGCTTGCGACGTACTGTTCAATATATTCCACATGGTAAGCTTAGCATCTTTTAAACGCTTTTATTATGCATACCATAGTCCATATGTGCATTGCGTTGTATATGTCGCGGAGCAGGATTCCACGTCGTCCTAATGGATTTAGTTCATGCATAATTAACTTTGTTACCACAGATTATAGTTCATGTATCTCCAACCTTCGGACAAAAAGGGCACGTTTAATGCGAGCGATTCATTTGTACAAAAGGCGGATGGTTAATGCTGTACCGAGGGGGTTCTCCCGTTCCCATGGTTTGTGGCATCATATTTTATATTTGTATATTGTAAATACGGATGCATCATGTGTGAGTGATCTTATGTGACTACTTTGATTGTAGGATATCCTGTTGTTGAACTTTTTAGTCTCGGCGAGCCTACAAGCATTTGTCAATACTGTGCAGCAATTATGTGGTGCAAGAAAGTACGGTTCCTACTAGGAGTCGTGTTAATCCCACTTTCTCATTGTGTTGCATGGCTGGAAAGGTAAAACTACCCCCTAGACGTGCTCCACCAGAGTTTTTGAATGAATTGTTACATTCTTCTACACCTATGAGCCGTCATTTCCGGGAAGCCATTCGTAGATACAATGCTGTGTTTTGCTTTATCTCCCTGGGCGGGAAAGTGGATCGTGGTATAAATGATGGTCGAGGGGTGTATGTGTACTCTATAGGAGGACAAATTTATCACTCTATAGGCAGCTTACTACCTGCAAACGGTTAGCCACCGAGGTTTGCCCAATTATACATTCATGACTCAAGTTCTGAACTACAGAGTCGTTTGCATCTATTTCCAGTTGATGATGCCTCCAGTTCATTGCGACCAGATATTGTTGAACGCTTGCAAGAAATGTTTGATAGAAACAATGTTCTGGTTCAAACCTTTCGGATGGCTAGGCAAAAGATACAGGAAGGCAATGTGAAAGAGGTGAAGATCAAATTAATTGCCAAGCGTGCTCATGATGGGAGAGAATATGATTTACCGACGGGGAATGACATAGCAGCCTTGATTGTTGATGAAACAGGGCAAGATACATTTGAGCCAGATATTATTGTTCAGTACAAGAGTTATGAATTGGAGAGAATTAATTATTATCATCCATCATTAATGGCTTTACAATACCCAATTTTATTTCCTTATGGAGAGGATGGATGACATCCGGACATAAGCTGTGATGATGATGATGATGATAATCTTTGGAATGACAAGACACTGTCCCAGTGTGATTATTATGCATACCGCCTACAGAGTAGATTTCAGGAGTCAAATTCGGTTTTATTATCTGGGAAATTATTTCAGCAGTATGTTGTGAATGCGTATGCATTAGTAGAGGCACAACGGCTTGATTGGATCCGAAATAACCAAA